TTCATCCTCGCTTATGTTTCCTTTGAAATAATTTATTTCCTCTCGAAAATGAATAAACTTCTTCAGCCATTCATTGCGATTATTTAAATCTCAAAATGATAATATTTTTTATGAAAAATCTATGCAGATATTTATTAAAAATATATAAAAATGTAGGTTTTAAAAAAAATTACTTACCTATACAAAATTTACAATTGTATAAATTATAAAAATGGATATTTTATACTCTCTTCAGATTTGATTCCAGATTTATTTAATTTGATTTTGTGTCTTTATTTAATTTGATCTACTCATAAATTTCTTTTCAATTTTTTATAAAGTCGTAACAAATAAAAAATTTTCTATTTATTAGTTTACAAGAAAAATGTATATTAAAAAGTTAAAAATCTCAAACACGAATGATTTTTTTAAACAATTTAATAAGTTAAATTTTCAGATAAGTCTAATATTAAATTATATGTAGGTAAGTAATCTAATTTTTATTTTAGTTTATATTATCTTATAATATTAGTTTATATTTTAATTTATATTATCTTATAATTTTTATTATAATTTCATTATTTTAAATATAAATTTTGTTTTAGTTATTACTGAAATTATTCCAGAATTATGAACTATAATATATTAGAGTGTATACGAGTTGCAAGTTAATTCCTAACTGGAATTATATCTATTTACTGAGATGTTATATTAATCTAATAAATTGTATTAATTTATTATTAGTATGAGTTCTCGAATTGCAATGTTTTGGATTTTTAATTATTTTAATTTATAATTGAATCTTTCATGATTCATTTATTGGATGAAGAACTTCATAAATGTATACGTAAATGTGCAATTGACATGATACAAGATTTTGATTACAATAGTTTCAATAAATAATTTCTTTTATAATTTATTATAATTTATCTTTATTTTTTTTGTTAGTTTACTTAGCATTGCTTATTTAAAAGATTTTCTTGTCATATTGTCGATGTATATTAGATGCATTTAGAATTATTATTCATGAAAAAATAATACGATCATATTCTAATTCTATAATGTTTAATAATCATTGAAAATCAATATCATCTATAGTTGTAAATCTAATGCAATCATACGAACAATTGCATCAATTGAGTTATTTTTACTTCTCTAAATACTTTATACTTTTATTATCTTGCACATTGGATTTTGCTTCTGTATATCTTATTAAATTAAATAATTGACTATAAACAGCTTTTAAGTGTCGCACAAATAGTTGTTCTGTTTCTTAACCTGAAAAATATTCTTCACAAGAATCTCCAAATCTTCTACATGATGAGAAAATTAAAATTAAAATGAAAGAAGTTTTATTCAAAATATTTTTTTTATTTTTGATCTTGCATAATCTTGAAGATTATGATCATAAATATGAATGAATTGATCTCAAAATAGTTTTATATAATGTACAGTATTCCATTTATGAAAATTTAAAATCATCTAATTGTAAGAAAATAAACAAATTTTTTCATTTATTTTTTTGTATTTATAGAATAGAAAAATGCTATTTAATAGCATGAACACTATGTATAAAAGAACAAAATATAAAAATAAAAAATATTATAATCATAAATATTAACAATCTAAAATCATATGTACAATAACTTATTTTACTATTTTAAAAAAATACAAATATATAATGTATAAGTATTATAAAAAATACATTGTAACATTAACATTTATAAATTTTATAATTTTGAATTTCTATAGCTCTTATAAATAGAACATCTCAGTTGTTAATTTAATTTCATTATATATTTCACTTATTTAATCATTGTTAAATAAAACTTATATTTGTTTAAGTTAGGATCATGATATTTATTTTTTTATTTAAATTATCAAACAAATGATTGAAGATTTCAGAAAAATTAGCAATGTGCAATATAGTATTCGATTTTATGGAACTTATATAGAAGATTAAAAAAACTCTTTGTTATTTGCAACATGAATTTACATTTCATTTTATCAAAATTATTTGGCTTTGTATGTTTTTCAGTTAATTTGTAAATTACTTTTGCATTTTTATCATATTTTAAATTTTATAAAAAAATAACATCGTAGCAGGATATTTGCGAACCAATTTAATTTGGAAATCATATTTTAATCAATTATTTCTAATGATTTTGAACAAATAATCAAATAGAAAATAAATTTTTTTTCGTTTTTAATAAAATATGGATTTTGAATATTAACTCTTCTTTCTGTCATGCTTATATTATTTGCTCTTTGATTGTATCTAACTATTAAACTTGTACTATTCAAAATATCTAAAACTATCTAACTATATCTAATCATCTAACTATTTAATGTATATCTGATAAGAAATTGTTTTTGATCCCATTCCTCGAAACAAAAATATTGGTTGTTGATTATTGATCAAGTTTTTTATCATAAAAACAAGTATCTGAATACGAGTTCGATTACCTACTATCATAAACGAGTATCTATTTCTATCAAAAATCTTAAATATTTAAAAACTTCAATAATTTATTTATGTGGATAGAAATTAAAAAAAATATCTTTTTTAAGCTATTTATTTTTATTCGCATTAAATAAATTTTGATATATATCAATATCGATTATATCAAACCAAATATTAATTATATTAAATTAATGAATAATTATGCTAGAACTTGAAAGATAAAATTTAAGAATATCGCGAATTTTATTTAGATAGAAGTGTATACACAATTTTTTTTGTTATATTATTTTATATTAAAAAAAATAATTACATCAATATATATAAAATAAAATCTATGTTTTTTTCAAGCATTGTTAATATTATCTGAGAAAACTTTTCTTCTATGCTTTTAAATTTTTTACATTTTGCTCGAAATTGTGCATCACGTATATAATTTCATTTTTAATTATGTCAAATATCGCTTTTATAAATTTAATTCTAATAGAATATAATTCTAATAGACAATATTGTATTGACAAAGATATTAAATTTTATTACAGAAATATCATTTGAACTATAATTTAGAGAAATATAATATAGAGAAAAACTCATTCTCAAATATGCTTAAATTACTATAATCATTTTATTGTCACAATTCCATTTAAGATATTAAAATTAATAATTTGCAATCATCTTCGTTTAAAGTTGCCAAAATATATTTCAAACATATTTATAAATGTATGACAATATATCTTAAACATTTATTTTGTCGATGTCATTTAAATAACGACTGTTTTTCTGGATAGTAATTCATTTTTTCTTTTAATAATGTATTGTAAAATAGATATAATTTTTTATTAAAATTTCTGACAATTAAATACCGATATTTCGAAAATTTCGATATTACAACTTCAATAAATATCAATAGAAACTTTTAGTAATTTTTTAGATAATTTTTCATTATTTTTCTTCTTTGAAGTGTTATATTTTTTAGCTCGCTTAAGAGAATTTTTTCCAATAATGTCGAAATTTATCACTTGATTCGTTATATGATTTTGATAGCCAAATCTATAATTTTATATTATATTTATTATATTATTTTTGATAATTTGTATCATTTTGTTTTATTCATTTTTTGATTTCTCTGTTCTTTAACTTATAAAACTTTATTTAAAACTTCATTTATTATAATACATTTAAATATATTTTTAATTAATTTATTACTCTTTTATACAGATTGACTATAAAAATAACATAAAATGAATTGATATTTGTATCATACATTAATTTTAAATTATATATAAATTTTTTATAAAAAACATTTAATATGGACGGATACTTGTGTTATATATTGATTTTAAATATAAATTTTATATAAAATACTAATTATTTGTTATATAATGATAAAATTTCATTACACAATAAATGAAATAATACTATTTCTTAAATAAATAAAAAATATTTAAATTACATTATTATTTTATATATGGAAATATTCCTTTTGTACAATAGAATAATAATAGTTTGAGATATATATGTGAAATAGTTTTATTGTTATTTTTTTTTATTGTAATTTCTATTGTAATTCTTTTTTTGCAATCACTCATTATTCATTGATTGAATCGTCCAATTTGAATATACCATTTAATCAATTATTATTTTTTCTGTAAAATCGATTAGTTTTATATTTAATTTCAACATCTTCGAATAATTATACATTTTTCGATATAATTCAATTTCTTTTGAAATTAATCCTCTTTTGAAACATAAGAATTAATTTTCTTCAAGATTTTGTATTTATTTTCGATAGATAAAAAAAATTAATTCTCGATAAATAAAAAGAATTAAAATTAATAAATTTCCTATTTAAATTGTGATTGTAGATATTTATCACATCTTCATTTACTTATTAACTCTAATTCATTATATTCATTATCAAATTATTTATTAGATTTTCTATGAATAGTAAACAAAAAACTATAATGTCTAATAAATCTTTAAAATTTATCTCTATAGTATATCTTTATAATTTCTCTATATCTTTATAATTTATTTTTCTTAATCTTTATAATTTATCTCTATATATATAAGTATTAATCTTTTTTTGCAATATCAAATAACAAGGATATCATTATTTGGCTCTAATCTAGAAAATCTCGATGGACAATCATTTCGTGATTGCTTTAATCAAAATGTAATAGTATATATTTTGACTGTTTCTTCCTTCATATTATCGACAAACAAATTGCTACAAATTTCTATTCTGTTATATTTCTGTTATATTTCAATTATATACAGTTTATTTATTTAATCATTTTTATTCGAATTATTATTTACTTACTACTTTATTATTGCTTACTAATACCTTATTATTTATCATTACATTCATTACAATCACTGACAAAACATGATCTATTTTTTTTTCTAATTTCTTAACATTTTAATCTTCAAACTTATTTAAGTTACATTTGTACATGATTTCGGCCATTCACAATATGGATAATTGCTCGTTTTTGATATAAATTGCAGAATACGCATATTTTGAAATATTATCTTGACATATGTCTCTTTCTTCCAGAGTTGAAACAGTTATTGCGAGTCTGTATCTTGTTGAACCTTGTTCTATTGTCCCAATCATTGGTTTTGTGTTTGCAATATGGAGAGATAAAAACAATTCGTTAATTAAACACAATGGTAGTACATAATAATATGTGTTTAATATTATAATTTATTAATTTTAAAAAAATGATTCATTTGTTCGTGGTAAGTTTCAGGAAGAGGAGAATATATGACGCTGTCCCCACTATTTCTAGATTAAGCAGATGTCACGTGACTAGATATCCAGCAAAGCCAAACATGTCTGCAACTGTGTTTAGAATTTGTCATTATTATTATTATTTTAGAAAATGTAAGATAGAAAATGCTATTTTATTATATTATTAATAAGTTTTAATCTTAAACGGTATCATTCCTATCTTATTTATCAACATATATAAATATACATATCTTTATATATGTTTATTAATATACCTTATTAAACTAGATTATTCGGTGGTCTCTTCTGCGATATCCAAAATGATGGCGTTCTTCATATATGTACTTTTTCAAAACAATTGGTCGACGCAATCTTTGAAAATTTTTTAAACAGCATATTTTTTTGGAATTGGATCAAGAATTTTTCCATGAGTTATCGTAGTCCTATTACTTATCATAAAACCTGTAAGTATAATTTTTTAAATTTCGAACAATTTAAGATTTAAGAAAAAAGGAAAGAAGTATTGTTTCTTCTTCATTACTATATATTTTATAGAGATCTTAAATTTTTTCCAATCTTGCCAAATACTTATTTTTAAGGTAAATTTTATACGCGTTACCATGCTGCATCTTCTTCATTCGTCATTAGTATGTTAGAAATGTAATTTCTTATATGAAAAATAATAAATTTATAGTTGCATTTAATGTATTAAAATTAATATAATAAATAACAATACTTTTGTTTTTTAAGAATATTAAATATTTATGTTTATGTATATATCTAACAATGTTAGATCAATCACGTTGAAATTTGATCAAGTTGAATTATTTTAATATATTTATTATATTATATTATTATTATAATTATTATATATGTATTAATTATATTAATAATATTATTAATTATATTGTTATATAATTATATAATTGTTATTATAATTATTATTAATATTTTTAAATTATTATAATAATTTTTAATATATTTACAGTTACGAACAAGATGAAAATCTATATTGAATATGTAATGAATAATCTTTTATAATATCAATAATAAGAATTATAAAAATTATATATTAAAACGAAAATAGAAATATCGAATAAAAAAAAAATAAATTGCAAAAATCATGTAATTATTATTTAATTATATTTATATTCATATATAATATAACTTTTAATTATATGAAGATAATTTATAATATTTTTTTTATAATTTATATTGTTATATTTCTTGCAATATAATTTTTTTTGTATTAATCCTTGCAGAATATTAAAATAAGATAGAAATTTATTATATATTTTAAAATTCTTTTGATTTAGCCAAAAATAATATATATTTCTAGTATAATACTTTCTAAGATACATACTTTCTTAATTTTTTATTGAAAAATATTATTATTAAGATACTTATCATGTAATAAGTTATACAAACAAGATATTGCTAATCAAATCTATTGTTTCACTGAATAAAATATTCTAAATTTTTGAATATTTAATTTTGAATATAAAATTGTGAAAACATTTTTTGATCTCTATATAATCGGTAATTATTGCTTATAACATTTTTTTTTAAAGCTTCATCATCTATAATTACATGTATTATATCTGATTAAGAAAATGACTTTTCAATAAGAAAAGAGAACTTTTCTGAATATATATGATATATGATATTTCATGATTAATTTTTCAAATATATTAATACTCTCCTTTGCCATAAGATAATAATAAATTTAATCAAAATTAATAAATCATAGAAAAATAATTTTTATAATTAAAATAATGAGCTACTATTGTATGGACATATACGAATATGCTTCTCATCTTATTCCAATTATAATTCAAAAAATTCCATTTTAATCCAAATATTTAATATTTATAAAAAATCAAATCATATACAAATACAAATAAAACAATACAACAAAAATCAAATACAAATAAAAGTCTATGCGCGGACGTTGCACTTAATCGTAAGCGTATGATATGCGTCTAACTTCTATGAATGGAATATAAGTGGTAAAATAAATTATGCTTATAGAAATTCTATTTTTACAATAGTTAAATTTTGATTTTGATGTAGTTAAATTTTGAATATTTATAAAAAAAAAATTTATTAGAAAATCATATTATATTATATTTTGTCATTATACTAAAAATATAATATTTTAATATACTAGGTATAGAAATATATTCTTTTCGATTTTTGTGAAAAACAAAAGTTTTATTACAAAAAAATACAATATTTCAATTGAAATACTTCTAATTGTTATCAACGACGTCATTTTTTCGATAACTTTCGGATTCCACCATGACATGCGGTGATTTTGAGTCAATAAATTTATCAAAGTATTTTCAGACATCATCAAGTATTCTAAAATGTATATAACATGTATTATGTATATAAACATGTATTAAATAATATTGTAAAGATCTAAATAAATGAAAATCAGAAAAAATCATATTTTTTTTAGTGAAGCAGTATATATATATATATATATATATATATATATATATATATATATAATTCATACAATATAAAATATTTAGAATCCAATGAAAAAATGATGATCGATCTTACAAATTTATTGTGAGAAAAAATTTAGTTCACATCTATCTTAATTAAATTGTGATTTTTTTTCTTTTAATTTTATAATCCAAATTAAAGAGTTATTATTGGGAATAATTAGTAGATTTTGTTTCTTCTAGATTTCATAATTCTTAGTATGATATTAGATCGTATGCAGCCAATAATAATGATTTAAACTTTCTTTGCATCAATATTGTGAACAGTGATGTCTAATGATGTCAGTGATGTCTCTCGTTAAACAAAATCTATTTATGATTTTTTATGCTTTAGATTATCATATAAAATTCATTTTTCATTACCTATAATGATTTAATTCATAATTATTGAAATTTTTGAAATTTAAAAAAAAAAATTTATTTTGCATAAAAACAATATTTATATTAGAAACAATATTTTATCAATTCAAAAAAATAAATAAAATTTTATACCAAACATTGACATTAAATTTATAGCAAAAACAAGCCAACCCTATATAATCTGATATTTATTTGGCGCTAAATACAAAATAAATTTTGTACTAAATACGCCATAATAAATTATGATTTTTCGATGATTAAAAATTTTAGCATTTGAATGAATTAAACAATTTTTAATTATTATGTATACATATATTTGATTTTCGAAACATTAATTTAAAAATTTTAGTACTAAAAATTAAATATATTATACTAATATTAATTATATTAATATTATATTATACTAATATTAATACAACCATCTTCGTTGTAAAAAATTATCAACTGTCTGATCTTAATATCTATAAAGTTTTAATTCTTTATAAAATATTCAGTTGCTTTTATGAAAAATCGCAAATGTTAGTCGTTTTTTCACAAGAATTTTTTTTAACTTCTAATTTTAATATTTATTATCACTATTCAAAATGCATATTGCACACTAAATGCTTTTATCTGATTTCTTCTATTTTCATATTTAGCATTGTATTATTGGCAATTGGTAAGTTAAATGTGTTTAATTTATTAATAAATTAATAAATATTCATATAGAAAATGTTAAATTTAAAGTTTATTTTTTTATTTCTATTGTTCAAAATTTATACCGATCTTTCAGAATTATAATATTTTTAAATAATTTAATTCAATATTTTTGAAAATAAATAGAATAAATAAAATATTATTTATAATAATTTATTATTTCTATCAAAGCATATATGTATAATAACTTAAATATAATTACAATTTTTAATTTAACTCGAGTATTGCAGTTTTGTTTTGATTTTGTAATTAATTGTTTAATTTTAATTGTTTTTTCTATTTTTAAAATTTTTTTTGAATAATCATTATTCAGGAGGGATTGTGTATATTTGTAATTGAAATAATTTGCTGTTTCATATTCTCTCCCTCATAATTAAGTCAATGAATCATTAATATGAAAAAAAAAAAAAATCAAAATATTCAATTGTTCAGAAAATAATTTCATTTTTTCAAGAAAAATATTGTTTTTCTTATTTTATTACGCTACTTTTCATCATTTTTTTGATAATTTGATAAAAGATTCAAATCATACAAATCTTTTTCTTTCTTGACAAAAAGCTGAAATAAATAAGTAATTTTTGACATTTTCGTTTAAATCAAAGTTTACATCATTTAAAGAATTTTGTCATTTACATAAATTAGAAGAGTATGGTGGATAATATATTTCATTCAAGTTGCAAAATTTTCTAGCAACTGATCAAATTTATGTTTCGCCTTGCACTGTCAAGATAGAAAATTTTTCTATTTGCCAATTTTGATTATTTACTTGAACATTTAATTGACGACAATATATATTTGAATCAATCATCTAGTAGCAGCTCGAAAAATATGATTCTGTTTCAATCTACAATATTCTGTTATAATCAACTATATAGATAGCATAATCTTTTTTTGATGAATATCAATCCAATCAATATTTTTGATGTTAATTGAGATATATAAAATTATAATTTTTAATTTAACTACTACTTTTATCTACTACTTTAATTTTTTAATTATTCAATTTTGTATTTTTCTTATTATATTAGACAAAGATATATTACGTGACTAATATATATCAAGCATATATATCATTGTATCACGTGACGTACTTCTACCTAATAAATGTAATAGTAGAAATGAAGATAATGCAATATATTCTGTTTCTACAAATGATAAAGCTTATTATCTTCTTAGAATGGCTTACACGAATTATTGGAACAAGTGAATAAATATTTGGAATAAAAATATTACAAATACTTCTATTGAGTTTATAAATACTAATACTAAATACTAGACATTGAGTTTGAGCAAACAATTTATGAAACATGATTGTCAGATATGGATATTTCAATTGCAAATAAATTATAGCGAATTGGTTTATGAACAACGAATGTTCACTCGGGAAGCAGTATATACAATAAATGACCTATTTGTGAATGTAAATAATATGTAAACGTGTTATTTTATTTTTAACATAATTTGATCTATAATCTGTAATGATCTTCCTTTAGCTGAAATTATTATTCGAAAATTCTTATCTCTTTTTAATATTTGTAGTTCAATTATGTTAAGTAATTTCCCAAATATGTTAAATAAATCTTTATATGACATTCTCGAGAAGTATACTTCATTTTTTCAATATTTCATTGAAAATAATTTTTTTTTTATATTCTATTTCACTTTATTAAATATAAAATTAATATAAGCAAGAGATCTGGATTTTCAAATATCCTTTTAAGCTTCAAAATTTTCGTATGCAATCTATAACTAAATATCATTCTTAATTTTTAATGCATTAATTAAATTTGAATGAAAATTTCAAAAATTTAGTAAATTCCAGATCAAATACTTAATTTTACTGAATCATCGAATAATTGTCATTGAATTTGGAAGATAAAAATAGAACTTGA